CATAATGTTTTCAAGGTTCATGAATGTTGTAGCATGTGTCAGTACTGCATTCCTTTAAATAATATTACATTGTATGGGTACACAACATTTTTTTTAAATTCATTTGTTCATGAAGAACTGTTTCATTTTAAGGGGGATTTATTCAGAAAATACTTGTAAATGATTAGACATGCCTTTAAAGGTTTGATTACATATGTATAAGGTGGCACCTAAAGGCTTTCAAAGAAATATGATGCCTATTTGTAGAAGCTTGAGTATGATAAAAAGTACTGTATATCCAGAAGCTCAGGAAGTAGTACTGGGTCTGACTTACGGATTTAGGATTTAGGATTCATCTACTTATAGATGGAAAATGAAACCATGAATGATCAATGAATGAAACTGCCCCCCAAGGAGCAGATGTAAAGACAATTAGGACACGGTCCAGCAGAACTCTGGGGATCCGTGGGTAAAGAACCTCCAATACCCACCCCTAGAGATGATGATAAATAAAACCTAACTCAGGTAAACCCTCAGGCTCCTCATTTGCAAAGAAAATACCTACTTTTTCACAAGGCTTGTAAGAAATTTAAATGACTCAACATATGCAAAGCAGCTGGTACCCAGCCTGTAGGTTGGACCTCAGTCTTGGTAGCTACAAATATTACTCTATATATTTGTGCTATTACTATTGTCAGTTTCTGCATCTTTGCTATTTCATTACCTTGTAACATCATATCCAGGACTACCTATCTTGAAATAAGCTTTCCTACCATCTTAAAAGTCAGTCTATTTTTAAATTTTGCTGTTGTAGTTCCCAGACTTTACTAGCTTCTCCCATAATACCAGAGGAGGCTAAAGGAATCTAAATGAGGTGGAGAGATGCTGCAGGCACAGGCCAGACTTCTGTGTGTCTGACCCAGTTCTGCATGCACATGGGAGGATGTCCTTAGCTCCAGAGCTTGGAAGAGGACTGTCCTAGCCTCAGATCATCAGAACATTAAAATTCTTCCTCTTTAGAAGTCTTTGTTTAGATGTTGGCAAGGGAAAAGTTAGTTACTTCATTTCTCAAAGACATTTGATCTTTTCCCTTCCATTTTTGGTAAAGAATAATTGACAAAAATTCATGACCTATCCTAAGGATAATTATACTGTAGAAATTCACTTTAAAACTTTCATGTAGTTTGGGAGTCAGAAGTGAAAAAAATCATTGGATATAGTGTTTTTTAATCTTATTATGTTACCATATGTGGTGTCTTAAGCTTGTTACTACTATAAGATCTTTGACTATCCTTGTTCTCTTTTGAAGAATTTCTTTGGATATTTTTTAAAACTTTCTTTTGTATTGGGGTATATCCAATTAACAGTGTTGTGATAGTTTCAAGTGAACATGGTAGGGATTCAGCCATACATATACATGTATCCATTCTCCCTCAAACTCCCCTCCTATCCAGGCTGCCACATAACATTCAGCAGAGTTCCATGTGCTATATCGTAGGTCCTTGCTGATTAGCCATCTTAAATATAGCAGTGTGGGCATGTACATGCTCTGAATATTTTTAAATAAACTCTCAAAAGACTTGACAACACCTTTCCATTCACTTTTAGTTAATTTGGTATGATTGTTTCTTCCTGCGTCTTCTCAAAGAGCTATTAAAATATGAATAACTTTTATATTTCATATTTTTTTCATCTTTCAGAATTTTCTTTATAGTTTTCTAAATTTCTCACATCTTTCCACCTTTCAAGGGGTAAAAGTTTTCAGTGTTTTCTCTTATTCAGCAGTTTGATTAGTTTTGTTTTTCTGGAATGTCACACCTCTGGTGTATTTCTATATATATTCCATATATGAGAATGTATTCTGCATATGGGAAATATGACTTTCATTGAAACTAAAACTACAGAATGGCATTGCATTTTGTGAATATGTGCAAATTTTTTCATTCCTTGTTGCTGGCTGATTTGTTGTAAACTGAGAGATGGAAATATTTTAAAAAATGTAACTCATATTCATCTACACAATTAGAAATGATGCTGGAGATGGGCTCTGTCTCCTGAAGCCTGAGCCAGAGCACTTTTCACTGGAAAATGGACAACTCATGACATTCATGACCTAGTTCATATTGGCTATTATCCAAATTTGGTGGTCAAAAACAGGACAGAGTCTATGGAAAACTTCTATTGCCTGTTCTGTTACTAATTTAATACAAGAATTACTGGAATTTGTCTGTATTTTCTCATCTGTTTGGTAGGACATGCTATCTCTTATCTCATGCTCAAGTTACAGGAACTAAAGTAATTTGAAAACATAAGATAATAATAGCATTTGTTTTATAATCCTATAAAAACCAGTATTGACCAGTGAATATAGCACACACTGGGACCCCCAAAGCTGAATTAGAAGCATGGAGAAGCCAGTGAAGAGACTTAAAGCTCAAGAAAAATTATAGGAAGAAAATGATAATTTTGTCCCTATAAGGAGATAAGGCAATTAGAGGTGAGAAGTTTCTCACACTCAGAATTAAAAATGACAGAGGAAAGGTATTCCTAAATGTAATGGGTGGATAGTTTAAATGTCAGTAAGTTTTCTGTGAACACCTCATGTGGAGAGTAATGCAGAATAGCTTAATGTGGGAGGAGATTTTTTTTTTTAAACAAACATTGACATTTTAAAGACCTAAACCTCTTAAATGGAATGACTGTTCAAATGCAAAATTAGACAAACCGAGGCATTTGGAGATTATATTTGAGTAGTATCTTGAGAGTCAGATAATGAATGACTCAGATCATCCAAGTGGTCTGGGCTGATTCATATATGTTAGAAGATGACATCAAATCTCTGATTTTGTCAGTGTTTTTCCCTCTGATCCACCTGGAGCATGCGTGTGTGCTCAGTCGCTTCAGTCACGTTCAACTCTGCAACCCCAAGGACTGTAGCCCGCCAGGCTCCTCTGTCCATGGGGATTCTCCAGCAAGAATACTGGAGTGGGTTGCCGTGCCCTCCTCCAGGGGATTTTCCCAACCCAGGGATTGTCTCCTGCGTTGCATGTGGATTCTTTACCCGCTGAGCCGCCCGGGACGCCCAATCCACCTGGTAGGGGCAGTCGCTCAGTCGTGTCCGACTCTCTGCAACCCCACGGACTGTAGCCTGCCAGGTTCTTCTGTCCATGGGATTTTCAGGGAAGAATAGTGGACTGGGGAGCCGTTTTCTTCTCCAGATCCAGCTGGTAGTGCCAAACAAATTCTGAACATCAGTGACTTTTCCAGATATAATTTGTGAAGGAAAATTTCCAAACCACCAGTAACAAGTCTAAGGTTTTGAAGATATAGGCAATGATATATCTGAATAAGACTCACTAACATGAGAAACTGGTTTCCCCAATGGCTCAGTGGTAAAGAATCCACCTGCAATGCAGGAGATGCAGGTTTGAACCCTGGGTCGGGAAGATTCCCTGGAGGAGGAAATGGCAGCCCACTCCTGTATTCTTGCCAGGGAAGTCCTATGGCGAGAGGTGTCTGACCGGCTACAGTCCATGGGGTCAGAGTCGGACACGACTGAGAACACACAAAACAAGAGAAAGGCAAGCCACACGTGTAACTACAGGACATGAGGAGATGGGAACCCCAGACGGAACCTTGATAGGACAAGAATGCAAGATACAAGATTGGGCTTGGTTTATCTAGGATGGAAGAAAGGAGCCTTCTTATTCCAGTAGCACCTGAATGATGCTTCTTAGCAGACATCTTAAATCTTAAATCAACAAATGTTATCTGGTTCCTGTGTTTGGTGCAGAGGATATAGAGAGCATATCCTTGGGCTCTGTCCTAGAAAGGCTTTCAGTCTATGAGGGAAACTGACATAGGAACTAATAAGTGGAGTAATTTGTTGTATTATAATACATCATTGTTGTTTAGTTGCTGAGTCAATACACATAAGAGCAAAATGTGAGAAACCGACAGGATAGTTGGTTTCTGACTACACTAGGATTAGGAGGCCCTCACAAAGGAGGTGGAAGTTGATGGGACCATGGAAGCATGTATGGAAGTTCTAAATATCAACAAGATAAGAAAAGCATTTCAGCCAGTGGTAAGGACCAAACAAGGAAAAAAGAAATGTTGGAGTACAGATGTTGTAGTATGTTCAGAGAACCCAATAAAGCCACCAAATTGAGGAAGTAGAAAAGGCTGAATTGGGAATATGGATACAAAGATGTGTCAGGCCAATGTGGCTCTCTCATGTGGTTTACATGAGTTCTGTCTTGGAACTATCCTGTTCTCAAGAATACGTCTAACCTGGAAATGACTGTTCTAAATCTGTGATTGGGTTTCTTGGCAGAGTGCCTATTTGGCGAATGAATAACAATAGTCTAAGAAAAGCTTGCCAACTTTTCTGTACCTGGTCCTGGTCTCCTTTCCATTTATTTATATTCTTTTTAAAAAATTAATTTTATTTATTTCTTTAGTTTTGGCTTCACTGGGTCTTCATTGCTGTGTGGGCTTTTCTCTAGTTGCAGCAAGCCGGGCCTACCCTCCAAATGCAATTTACAGGCTTCTCATTGCAGTGGCTTTTCTTGTTGGGGGGTATGAGCTCTAGGTGAGGGCTTCAGTAGTTGAGATTCCAGGGCTCTGGAGCACAGGCTCAGTAGTTGTGGCAAACGGGCTTGGTTGCACCGCAGCATGAAGGATCTTCCCAAATCAGGGATCAAACCCACATCTCCTGCATTAGCAGGTGGAGTCTTTACCGCTGAACTACCAGGGAAGCCTATTTTTATATTCTTACATTGCTTATAGTGCTAAGAGCTTACAGTGCAATGTCCTTGATAAACTCTGTTGAAAAATATGAGAATGAATCATACACATATGCACGCGCACACACACACATGCATACACATGAAGAAATTTTCATGGCTTTTTGAACATTCAGATTTAACTAATGTGCTGCAACTTTAAAAATAGTTCACTTGAATGTTGCCAGGAACATTCGAAAATAAACTTTCTGACCTTTTGTTGTTTTCCCACAGGATTGAAAAAACGTACAAGGAAGGCCTTTGGAATACGGAAGAAAGAAAAGGACACTGATTCTACGTATGTACTTGAGGAGAACGCCACTGCTCAGCATCAGCTAACGGTGCCCGTGTGGGAATGTGGATCTGGTTTGGGCTGCTGTATAGAAGAATAATGAGCCCGTTAAACCTCTTGTTTGGCTAGAATCCCTGCAAGAAAGTTACAAAATGGGAAAATCAATAGTTGTTTAGACACAGTTGAAAAGGAAAAGGGTTATCTTGATCACACACCTTTAGCTTTTCCTTCTGTATAGGTTTATCCTGCATAAATGTTATCACAAGGTGCGGAGCATTGCCCTGTGGCCTTGTCCTCTGACCATTTTTAATTCATGCAAAGTGAAGTATCTTTCATATAACTAAAACAGCTAACATTTGAGATGACTACACTGGTAACTAGTAGTTAGTAAATGCTCAGTGAATGGCAGCAGCCACTACTATTACTAGTACAAATTAATATGTGGCAAGTTCCTTTTGGGCAACTAAAAATGGAATTTCCTGGGAAATTCGAGGGTGGAAAAGCTCATATTTAAAGAGATATTCAATGAAGTTTCAAAGTGAGAGGAGCCTTGAGTCTGATCTTCAAGAAGATGAGGACATGCATTTCATGCAAAGGGAGCAACAGCCAAAGCAGAGATGTAGAAAATCCAAGGAGGTCTTCAGGACAAGCTAAACAGGGCAGTCTGTCTACCTGTCAACAGCTGGTAAATGTGATGATGGGAGGTGAGGCTGAAAAGATCAGGGCTAGACAGGAAGGGCTTGAAGTGCCAGGCTGAGGTGTCTGGGCTTCCTTCCTTAGACAGTGTGCAACCTTGAAGCCTTGAGGCTTTTAAACCAGAGACTGTAAAGGACTGAGGGTATAAAAAGCTATGTTTTGTCTAAATATCAGATGTCAAGTCTCCTGATCTTACCTTTTCTTTGTGCTTTCTCTTTTGGTAAATAGTTATTTCATGGAAACTACATTTACTCCATCTAGTTTTGCCAATGTTTTTAAATGATTAAATTAGAAAAATTTCTGAGCATTATACAATTCCATTATTTCTTAACAAATTGCCATTTTTGAAAAGTTAACCAGAATAGATGTTTCATTCATCAGAGTCAGGAGACCTGGGCTCTGGCTTCAGGTTTGCCAATAGCTCCACAGCCTTAGAATACACTTTCCTCTAATGGGCCTACATTGACATTAGAGTTAATTTCCCTAAAAGGCCAGACACTGTAGCAGTCGTCTGTCAGCAACATCGCGTCACCTACAATGTGCCACGTGCTGTGTGGGATACTATTAGACATTTCTCAGGAGAACGTTGTTAGCAGAAACCAAATCCAGCTTTCTTTGAAGATAGTGTCTGTAACTTACTACACGTAATCTCTGGTGTGTGGAGAAAACTAAAAAGGATAAAAGCTCCCTCAAAAGGGAAAAGAGGTCAGACAACCTCCCCAGGGTAGGCTGAGCTATTTGCCTTTGGCGAAAGCACCGCTCTTCCATCATCACTTCTAAAATCGGGAAAATGAGAAAGTTACTCCTCACGGCTTTGGGTAAATGGCCAACATCTCTCTGAAGTACTCTAATGAGACATTTGCTTGTAAAATTCCAAGCATCTCTCCTTCACTTCTTGTAATCTGAGTGCCCCAGTTTACTTAGATGTAGCAAATTAGCTATAAACTGGTTCCATCAGTGGTGATGGTCAAAGGACAAGCCATTTAATGTAAGCCTCTGCCTTTCAGGAACACCCTGCTCTCTGATTGGGTCATATATCATTCTTGCAGAAGGCTGGGGAAATATTCTGGCAATGTGCTAGCCCTTCAAATTTAGGTAATGCTTATGATAGTCTGCCATCACCGAAACCTTGCTGATGCAGACTGTTTTCAGGGCTGTTGCAACTTCATGAGGGTTGCCAAGCAACCTGCTATGGTAGCTGCCAGCTCCAAATTCAGCTGATTGGGTGTCCTTAGACAGAGTGGGGTTAGAGTCAGAGCTTCCTGATTTGATCATCATTACAATGGCTGATAAAAAGAGGAAAGGAGAGAGCCTGTGCTAAATGCCAGACTCTGTGCAAGGTATTTTGTAATGCACTGATATCCTTTTCAATCCTCACAGTAATTCAATAAGGTTAGAAGTAATGTCTCAATTTTAGAGATGCGAAATCAATGTCAAAATGAATTAATTGCTGAAGGCTACCCAGAAAATAAGACATGGATCCAGCTTTCTAGTCCAGAATCAAGTGACTATTCTTTTATCACCCAGGAAAAAAAAAAAAAAACAGAATAGATGGATAAAATTATAATCAAGACCAAAAGGGGGGTAATAGAGAAAAGGGAGTAGTGGCAAGAAGGTAACTGTCATTTTTAAAAACAGAGGCAAAAGTTGCCTGGTAGATGATCAGTTTTAAAATGGAAATCAGTAAATATGGTGGGTTTGCTGTATTTATTTAAAAACATAAAACTTAATAAGAGGGGGTTAGGAAATAAATTGAGGACATGCCCAATTGTCTTGAGGCTGCTAAAATCTCTCTCTACTCCTCATCTTAGGTCAGCTTATATTGATATAATAACTTTAATCTAGATAACATTTTATGAGTATTTACAATGTTCTAAGCACCATTCCAGGCTCTTCATTTATATTAACTCACTGAATCCTTTACCCTGTGAGATATATACTGTTATCACAGCTGTTGTGTAGATGAGGAAACTGAAAGGCAAAGGGGTGAAGTTCTTGTTTGAAGTTCTGCAGCTAGGAAATCTGAGTTGATTGAACCCTGCAGTCTGGTGCTGTAGCTGTTGCTCACCACCATGCTTCCTACCACCATACTGGGAAGAACCAGCCTCATTTCCACCAATGGATAAGGCAAAGGATTCAAATAGACATCAACACTGCTATGTACGATTACATTTATTCTGATGAAAATTTTGAAATGCCATCCCTATGGCGGTAATATGCATGAAACCAAGTAGCCTCCCATTTAAGATCCCCTTGCATCTATCACCTGCCCCTAAAGACAGCACCACGAGGATGGGTGCCTCTGGATCTGTCCTACGCAAAAGTTAGCAAAATCTCCTCTCTCCTGATCCCTTAGCAGAGGCTGAAACCCTAGTAAGAAATGTTTGTTTGTTTTTCGGTATATAAATCTGATAAGGAAAATTGGCTTTGATGAGTGTGAGTTGGTACTTTTCTCTGTGCCGCCACCTGGGTTTATTGTGGTCATAATAACCCACTGGATTTACTTGCTTGTCTCAAAAAGCATGTCTTCTTCATCATTTTATCTCCTGAGTTTAGTCTAGTGCCTGGCCCATTATAAGTCCCTCAATATTTGTTCAGTGAATTATATATAATTCTTCCTATCCTTCTTTCTTAGATGAAATTTCTTTGAACCAACTGTTAGTAATTCTCATAGCCAGCAAATGTCCAAACACCCTCAGGCTTCTGTCAACTCCCATGGTCTTTCAAAATCAGGGTTCTCTCTACTTCTAGCCCCTGTATCACTGATTCATGCTTGCATCCACGTGGAAATGATTATGAAAAATGATGCACTCCCATCAAATAATTTGTAATCCAAGTAGAATGTTCTGCTAATTTTGAAGGGGGTGTTGGCAGGGAAAGGAATCAAACCTTGGAGCTAAGAAGATGTCCCAGTAAATAAAGAACATTTTACTTGGTCCCACCTCCTAAGGAACAGTCCTAACCACACCCAGTGGCTCAGCTGGTAAAGAATCTGCCTGCAATATGGGAGACATGGGTTCGATCCCTCGGTTGGGAAGATCCCCTGGAGAAGGGAGCAACTACCCACTCCAGTATTCTGGCCTGGAGAATTCCATGAACTGTACAATTCATGGGGTCCCAAAGAGTTGGACATGACTAAGGGACTTTCACTTTCATTTTCACGCCACCCAAGCACTTACTAAGGTTTCCTTCCAAACAGTGCAGGTCCTCACCTGAGCATGATTATGGTCTCCATGTTAATAGAATAATATTTTTCTAGCTCCTCATATTAATTAATATGAGAATTAATATTTATTAATTAATATGAGAATTAATATTAATTAAAATATTAATATTAGAATTAATATAAGAGGTTATAAAGTTACAATGACTACCCTTTTATTTCTCCCTTTCTTCTGCTCCTCCAGTTCAATTTTCCAGAGTAACAGTAATACCCTTCCTCTATTGCTATAAAGCCTAATGTGGGTGCAAGTGGGCAGTTTTGTGTTTGTTCCTAGGGTAAAGCCATCAAGGAAGAGGAAAAAAAAACGTGTAACAAACATTTTTGAAGACTTAGTATGTGTTGGGAATCATTATAGGTTCTTTATATACTTTTCATGCTTAAACTGACTTAGAGAGGTTAAGTAATTTGTCCAAGATTAGAGAATTAGTAAATAATGGAGTCGGAACACCTAGATTCATCCTTCTCTAAAGACTTTATTCTTCAACACTGTAGCCTAGAATCACTGTGGATTAAATACCCTGGACATTAGTCATCAAAGTGAACCATTTAGTAAAATTGCCCTTCATTTCCTGCTCTCATGTAATCAAAGGAGCAGTAAATATAGAAAGATAGAGGAAAATACAGATTCTCAAAGTGACTTGAAAAATACCATAGAAGTTCCTTCTTATAAGGGGAAATTCAAGACCACTTACAGGGAGAAGATGAGAGAACAAATCGATTGGCATTCCTGGTGGCAGTTTTAAATGGAAGCCGATTAAATGGGACAGCTCTTACTGAATTCTCCTCTCAGAAGTGGGCAAGACACTGCACCAACAACTTGTGCCTTTTGGATTTCAATTTTTAATGAATCTCCCTCCCACATACATGTACACACACCCCACACTGAAATATCATTCAACCGATTTGTTTTGATGAGCTCACATTAGCCAGGTTTACTGGGGTGGGAACTGGCGAGAGGTGGTTAATGACTCTTATTGTTGTACTTGAGTCTGTGTAGCAAGAGTGATTCATTTTCCTAATAGCTACTAATTTCTTTTTGTTACAGAGGTTCACCAGATAGAGATGGAATTGTAAGTATTTAAATGACCATTTTTAGTAGGTTTGCATTTCAACCTATGCTAGTTTAAATTTCTTAAAGCCCCATTTCATTTTTTTTCCTGCAGGGGGAAAAAATGAGCTTAAATGACTTTTCAGACCTCTTACTGTTGTAATTTTTTGTAGTAATTGCATGGGACATAAATACAGTCTTGGTCAAGTTAAACTTATTTATTGCATTCACCTAAAACCTTGCTCCAGAGCAGGCAAGGCAACCAGTCATCAATATGATGGGTCAAAAGTCAGACAGTTCCTGCAGGGGCTGCTACCATCAACTGTTATTTCATTTCCAATTTAATGATATAAGAGCTCATTATATGAGAATGCTTTTCTCCAACAGAGGCCACAAAGTCATAATGGAGCTGAGATCCAATAAAATTGAAAGAAGCCTTTCCCTTTTTGCAGTTGAACTGCAGATACATTTTCTGTATTAAATTCATAAGTAGGGAATGGTCTTGAAACCACTTATGCCTGAATTTATAGCCTGGAGGAGGAAAATGTGTTCACTGGTTCAAGAGTTAACAGGAACTCTGGTTCCTTGCTGGTCACCAGATTTCTTGCTTTTTTAGAGAAGTCCGTGGTGCATGAGCTTGGATTTATCCAAGTTGTCCTGATGACAGGCTGCACCAGCTTCTAAAATGACTTCCTTCAAGGCTGAATCAGATGCCTATTCAGAAGGTTCAAAAGAACAGCTGTTACTGAAGGAGGGAAAAAAGGGACTCACATTAGGCTCATTGGGCTGGAGTGGGAACTAAAATAAACCTGATAGATAATTTTTTTTGAAAAGTCACCCTTTATAATATTAGACCTAAATTGGGGTGTTAACTGCAGCTATGGTAGGAGTTTTTCTCCCACATTAACTCAAGGTTCTTAGCTTTGGGGTGCCTTTTGCATTCATGTAGTTCTCTCCATGAAATGTTAAAGAAGTAGACTGAAATTTATCAGACATTGGGTAACACTATAATCAAGGCTCTATTCAGCAGGGGAAAAAAAAGACCCAGAAGACTCAGCTTCTCCTCACCTCTTGCTTCTGGCTCAGAGCCCTCTCGTTAACTCTGTCTCAGGTACTCTGCTTCTGTGTCTTCTCTTTGCTTCTGTCTTAGCCCCCTCCCTGAGTTCTCTTGTCCCCTTCATCCTCACCCCTGCAAGACTCCGATCGCTAGTCTCTGCTCTCCCTCCCTGCTGCTCCTGGGCTGGTTTGCTGTCTCTTGCTTCCCTCCCTCAGTCCTGTCCTTTTTTTTCTTTCTCTAAAGCTCCTCCCACCCCTCCGGTCATCGTCTCTGAAGCCCCACTGCTGTCTCAGTTCTCTGCTCTGCTAGGGCCCCCCTGTTTACTTCTTGAGTCGAACATGCACCTGGTACCTGGCACAGTACTGGTGTGCAACAGGTGACTCTGCGTATGTGCTGTGTCCATAAGCCCAGCTGAGATTCTGCAGACGCGCCCACCCGAAGACAGGGCTTCATCCCTGAGTTCCCCAAGCCCTCCATCATTGCCACCATGCCCAGTCACGTCAAGTTATTTACCAGCAGATGCGCCCTCTTTGTTCCTTAATTGGAAATGCCACGAATGTATTACTGGTCATGATTTTAGAAAAGAGGAGTCATTTAATTTTGATTTCTCAGGAAATAATACACACCTGTTTGGAAAATAGGCTGCATTCAAAATAAATTCATGTTCTCAGAAACAGGGTGTACAGCTTCCTAGGTAATTGGACATTGTTAGCCAGCTGCTTATTTTACCACTTGGAAATGTGCCTCTAGTTTTCTCCACGTACTATGGGCACCAAATTTTGAGAATGCCTTCTCAGACTAGTTGCTATAGAAGTCCAACATTTCTATTTGCATTCAGTCCCTGGAAATCTCAACCTGATTTCCCTTCAAACTCAGACTGATTTCTTTAAGACCTTATGTCAGTGGAGCCAGTCCACTTTTACATGGCTGAGTAAGCTATAAAGTGATTTCTTTTTGAATATCTGAAGTTGAAATTTATGGTTTCACTAATGTGGTTCTCCAAACTACAGGTGGTGGTATACCCACTTCATGCTTATATATGACTTTGTCAACACAGGAGTTACGCCACAGGTTTAACTGTTTAAATTCAGTTTCTGCAAATCCAGTGAAGCCCATCTTTGGTGACAAGGCTTTTGAGGTTTTGTCTGCAGAGGCTCTATAGCTGGGCTGCATGTAACAAAATGGGCTTGCCTTGCTCTCCACTGGTCAAATATGCCCACTCCTGGCCAAGCTGTCTGTCTCGAACTTTGAGGATTTAGGCATCTGTGTGGCAATGCGGTCTAACCCAGAGACACACTCTGAGTCTTTCCTAAGCAGTTCAGGTTTCCATCCACACCTAGACTGGGGGACTGGATGTCACAGTCATTTCTCCGAGGAGCTCTCAGCTCATCCTGAACATGTGTGCCGGAAAGGGTCCAGGTTTGGAGCTGGCAGCTGCTGTCTCCCCAGAAGGCTATGATCCAGGGAAATACACAGTGCAGCTAGCCTTTTCAGACTGCCATTAGAAACACAACTATTTTTATTCAGTCTCTGGTGTGTCCCAGTGTTTGTCTCTACCTGTAAATTAAGTGCTGGCTGAATGAGGACTGGATCCACATCAGCCCTGGTGCCTGGGACACCTCTTTCCCCTTCTCCCTTCTTCTCCTGGCCTAACCACACTGGCCTGCTGAATAGAGCCTCATTATGGGCCCCAAAGTCCACTCTTTGCTCCGAGAACCCTGCCAAGATTGGTAGGCCCTCCAATTTGGCCTAGATGTTGTTTCCTCTATGGTATGTTTGCTGACTCCATGTGATTCTTTATATGTGTCTTGAAGAACAAACAGATCCTTTAACAACTTTTTTCTACATGAAAACAATCAATTCCAGCAGCCCAGCCCACATGAACCACCCTACAATAACAAAGCAGAGTGCGCGCGTGAAGGAGGAAAAAAAGTTTCGGTAAGGAAACAGATTTTAGTTTAAAATTTCCAAGGGGTTGTAGAAACAGTGAGTAAAATCCCAATTTGAAATTTGAAAACACCAAAGCATTTAAGACTCTTTCTTAGATAGTATTTCCCAATACTGGGGCCAATTTTTAAATCAACTATATAGATTGTATATGTTGATGTCTGAATATACTTTTAAAAAGTGATCAGGCATAAGAGACATGACTATGTCTTAGATGAAGGACAGCAATTCAGATTTTTTTAAAAATCTGCTATCTATAAGAAATCTTTAGCTATAATATAAACAGCATTATGCAAATTGAGTAGTCATTTGTTAGGGTAAGCACTATCTGAGTAACATCAGGAATTTGGCAGGACTTGGGCCTGAGGGACCTAAGGTACTTGCCAGTGGACTTGGGGTGCTGATCCTGGTGTCCCAGACTGTACAACAATGATAGCTGTGTTGTTCAAAATGGTGGCCACATGTGACTATTTAAAATTCAGCTCCTCACTTAATGGCCATCAACAGATGAATGGATAAATATATAGTGCATATATACAATGGAATATTAATCATAAAAGTGATAAAATAGTGCCATTTGCATCAACATGGATAGATCTAGAGATTATCATACTGAGGGAAGTAAGGCAGACAAAGGTGAACATCATATTATATGATATCACTTATATGTGAAATCTAAAACAAAAAAAATACAAATGAACCCATTTATAAAACAAAAATAGACTCACAGACATAGAAAACAAGCATGTTTATCAAGGAAAAAATCAAGGGAAGAAGGTATAAATTAAGAATTTGAGATTAATAGATATACACTGCTATATGTAAAATAAACAACAAGGACCTACTTTATAGCACAGGGAACTATATTCAATATCTTGTAATAACCTATAATGGGAAAGAATGTGTGTATATATACACACATGTGTGTGTGTGTGTATATATATATATATATATATATATATATAATTGAATCACTTTGCTGTATACCTGAAACATTATAAAGCACCTGTACTTCAGTTAAATAAATACCTATTTTTTTAATTTTTAAAAATAAAATAAAATTCAATTCTTCAGTGACATTTGCCACATTTTAAGCACTCCATAGCTACTTGTGGCTAGTTGCCACCATATCAGACAACACACATACAAAACATTTACTTCTTCACAGATAGTTCTATTGGATAGTGATATTCTATAGCATTATTTACAAAGTGAGACAAGTCTATCTCAATGGCAAATAGATAATATTTAGGCAGCATTTCATATGTCTTTAATACTTCTCACCAAAGAGCACAATGTGGCCATGATCCTGGAAAAGAGGAGCATCCACAGTTAAAATTAAGAACTTTGATGAATGTATAATTGAATGCAATTTTACTACACTTATTGATCTAACCAATCATATTATCTGAGAGGAGATAATAAGCTTGACCAAAGTAAAATACCTATTAAAACATGATCAATATTGCTATCAGCCTTGATTATCTTTAAATAACAGTCATATATTCAAGTTTTAGAAGTGATTCATGAGAATTGTGGATTTTAGAAAATATAGAAAAGAATTTTAAAAATACATACCTTATACTCCAAGAGAAAAATCACTGTTTATATTGAATATGTTGGTGAATAGCCAACATTGCTCTAAATATTAAGCCTAATTGTTACATATTTCCCCACTTAAATTACATTCTACCATGGTTTTACACAGTTTTCCAATTGAAAATCAATAGAGCCATTACCTCCATATCACCACTATGAGCTGCTTAAATTGTTAAACTGGGAGAATTTCTTCCTTAGAGTTTTACCAGAAGAATTTCAACCAGGTTCTACATTAGCTCTAACTTGATAATTTCCACTTCAAAATCAAATATATTTGTAAGAATTCACTAGTGTGAATGATTCTAAATTGCTAATTTCTCTAATAGAACTGTGTGTATATATGTGTGTGTATGTGTGTTTTTAATATCAACCCAAAACAATGTACTATTATGATTTGTTGTTTGTGTTTAGTATTTATGTTTAAAGTGTTCTTATTTTAAAAGAAATTTCTTTTTATAGGCTTTGCTTTCTCTTTATCACAGTCTTCCACTGGTTTCCATGGAAACTGAGAAACATTCTCTCAGCCCAGATCTAGAAAATTCAAAAAACTGAGGAACTTTTGTATTTCTAATAATGCCAGTAAAGAAATACACACACTCATTTTGTCTTTGTTTAGCTGAGCCTATCAACTCTCTTGATCTTGAAGGGCTATGGTTACAGAGATGAGATTATCATGGAAGCAAACATCAGTAGAACTTCGAAAATTTTGAACTCAGTAATTTACCTAATCTCTTTGGTTTTTAGATAGCAATTCTTTGTAATAAAGAATTAAGGACTGAAAGATCTATTAATAGTACTATATTGATCATAGAATTCGTAAGTTTAGTTTTTTGAAATCAGCTTAGTTCATTTGATTTCCCATTACTCTAAATTACATTTGTATTTTGAATTTATTATATATGCTTTATAAGGAGGAGAAGGCAATGGCACCCCACTCCAGTACTCTTGCCTGGAAAATCCCATGGACGGAGGAGCCTGGTAGGCTGCGGTCCATGGGGTCACTAAGAGTCGGACACGACTGAGCAACTTCACTTTCATGCACTGGAGAAGGCAATGGCAACCCACTCCCCCAGGACGGGGGAGCCTGGTGGGCTGCCGTCTGTGGGGTCACACAGAGTCGGACACAACTGAAGCGACTTAGCAGCAGCAGCAGCTTTATAAGGAGGATTTGGAGAATTTTGCAAGGAAGACATATGCAAACATTGGTAAAGTAGAAATTTTAAAAGAAAACAAGTATGACAAATAGGAAGAACCATGCCATTCACCACAAGAGAGATTTTTTATTATGAGATGGCATGTCCTCAAAAGGAGCTTCATAGGTTATACAGGCGCAACGTTGATGTGGCAAGTTTTTAAAACAACCTTTGTTTAAATAGCAAAGAATATCATTGAAGCACTAATTCAATGAAGGCAATTCTGTGAGAAGCTTAAAATGATGTAGTTTGATTAAGCATATAATCTTTGTCAGGAGCAAGACAAAGAAGAGGGACATGGGGCATGGGCCCTTTGTCCCAGTGTGTTGGTTGGTGGAGGCAGGACAGAATTTGTGCATTTATAAGTTCTAGTGCAGTGGTATATGGGAAGAAACAGGAAAATAATGGACACATTATCTATTCCTTGCACACTATTTCCCCTCACTCAACCACTGCTAGTTCTTAGAATACCCAATCAACATGCAGTATCAACCAATGATGATGTTACTAGGTTACCTCTGATTTGGTTTTTTAGTGATCCAGCATGCATAGATGAAAAGGTTTCTTCTCCAACCTACTTGTCAAATGGTGTCAGCTGTTAACATTGTAGCTCAACCAGCTTTCATTTGTGATTGCAAAATTAGGTGTCCTGTCCTCAAGCCTCATTCATCAGCATTCGATGTGTGTTGTTGTGAGATTCATGAGTGCTCAGTGACATATCATCGCTCTATGTGCTAACAGTAGGAATGTTGTTGAATGGACTCTCCATTAACGACCTCATCTGTCTTTATCCTTTGCTCATGAGAAACAAAGAATCCTAGAAATTTCAGTTTGAATGATACCACATCCTTGCTCAAGTTCTCATGGCCATACATGTCATGGCAGTACCAGGGCTGAAAATAGAACTTTAAGATAATTCTGAGAGAATAATGCTGATACCCAGTCCTCTCATAATGATGTGTGCTCATGGGGGCCTAGGATGCATGGATAATAGAAATCCACAATTAATCCTCAAGTTGTGTTTTAGTAATTTCATAAGAAAAGTCACTTGAAAAGAACATCATTATTTTTTAATACTTAGAGGCTGAGTTAACTAATTTGAACCTTTATATTTTATCAAGGGTGTTTAGGAAAACTTGAGTCAGTGTTAGAAAAGCTGAAAGAAGATGAATTAATGACTTGGATGATATTTTCTGGATATGTTGGAAATAATTGTGTATGAGAATAACATGGGTCAAAATATTTCCATTTAAATATTACATATTGAATACATCTGGTTATATCCCCTGAGGTATAGAGGATTAAATAATACATAGGGGCTGCTGATTCTTTAGTAATTATATAACATGTGAGTAGCTAGTTGTTAATATCCCTATGCATATCCTACAGTCTTTTGTGAAGTAAGTGTGTAAATTCTTTTATGCAGTGTCACGGCAACTCAATTTACCATTCAGTTACACCAATGTGGTTGCTTAATAGGCTGCTCTAATGTGTCTTTCCAGTGCTGGATTTTGATAGCTCTTGCTAAATGCATATAAGACAAGTTTTCTTTTGTTTCTTTTATATTAATTCAAATGTTTCTTTTCTAAATGTATTTTCAAATTTATTACAGAAGAAAAGCAATGGAGCACCAAATGGATTTTATGCAGAAATTGATTGGGAAAGATATGTGAGTATCAGATTGTTTTTATAAAATTTCAGTGTGAAAAAGAGTCGAGGCATGCTTATACTTAAAATAGAGCATAGAAATAAGTGAAACATCTCATCAGGAAGTGTTGGCACAGTTAGCCTGGTATAGAGTCTAAGAGCACTAGAGTCTGTTAGACCTGAGTTTGAGACCTGACCCCTCTGTGGAACAGCTACGTGTGGCTTTGGTTATTTGCTGGCCACCATAAATGAAGTCAGTAGTTACTTTATAACATTATTGAGAAGATTCAATGAGCTAACTCTTTGCAGAATATTTCAGTAGCCTGCCTAGCCTGGCATGCATGTTCAAAAAACACTTTTTAAAATATTAACTCTAGATGTTCAGTCCTAATTATATTGATAAGCAGCTTTGAGTATTGAGTCAAGTCAGTTCATGCCTAGGCCTTGATTTTGCAATGTCCTAGTCTGTTCAGGTGGCTATAACAAATATGCCAAAAACTGAATGGCTTATAAACACAAACATTTATATCTAACAGTTTTGGAGCCTGGGAAGTCCAGGATCACGATACCAGCAGATTCGGTGTCTGGTTGAGTGCCCACTTCCTGGTTCATAGAAGGCACCTTCTAACTGTAACCTCACTGTGGTCTCTTTTATAAGGGCATTAATCCCAATCATGCTGTCTCCTCCCTTGTGACCTAATCACCCCCAAAGGCCTCAACTCCTAATACCATTACCTTGGGGTTTGGATTTCAACATATAAATTAGGGAGCAATACAAATATTCCTACCATAGCATATGAAAATTATTCTAGTCTCATAGTACAGATTTTTCCCAAGTCAAATGACAATCAGTTGTTTCTTCCCAAGGAGTAAGGGTGAATCCCAGTGGAGACCTAAACTCTCCTTGTAATTCCCCCAGTAGCCAGTTAACCTCATCACCACACACTTCACCAGCCACAACAGGATGGACAAAATTGCTCTTATATTTCTAATCATAGAAAACATATAGGCCATATTCATATCAAAAATCACTTTTATTGCATACCAAGTGCCTAAATTCATAATTCCTACAAAATGCCTTTGTACTTACAACTTAGGTGACTGTCTAACCCAACCTCCTCTTTCATAAAAATTAAACTTGACATTAATGCATTTGCACATTGGTTAAGAATTTCACTTTTTTAAATACCAACATTCATATTATGACATGCTACTAAATTCTTACCACCTTTTTGTTGTTCAGTTGTTAAGTCATGTCCGTCTCTTTGTGACCCCATGGACTGCAGCATGCCAGGTTTCCCTTTGCGTCAGTTTCTCCCAGAGCATGCTCAAACTCATGTCCATTGAGTCAGTGATACCATCCAACCATCTCATCCTCTGTCGACCCCTTCTCCTCCTGCCCTCAGTCTTTCCCAGCATCAGGGTCTTTTCCAGTGAGTCAGCTCTTCCAATCAGGTGGTCAAAGTATTGGAAGCTTCAACATCAGTCCTTCCAATTCAGGGTTGATTTCCTTTAGTATTGAATGGTTTGTTCTTGCTGTCCAAGGGACTCTCAAGAGTGTTCTCCAGCACCACAGTTTGAAAGAATCATTTCTTCGGTGCTCAGCTTTCTTGATGGTCTAACTCTCCCTTCCACACATGACTACTGGAAAAAACATAGCTTTGACTCTACAGACATTTGTCTGCAAAGTGATGTCTCTGCTTTTTAATACACTGTCTAGGTTTGTCATAGCTTTTCTTCCAAGGAGTGAGCATCTTTTAATTTCAAAGCTGCAGTAACCTTCTGCAGTGATTTTGGAGCCCAAGAAAATAAAATCTGCCACTGTTTTTTACACCTTAGAAGGTGAATACTACATTACCTGCATTTTATAGAAAGAAAAACTGACTCTCAAGAAAATTCAATTATTCATGCCACCTGTACACTCCAGAACATGTCATTCTGTCAACCTCATTACCTGGTCTTCCCTTATACCTGTTTCCCAGTGTTGAGATCTTTTTTATATTTCCTGCAGTTCAATTCCCTAGATCTGTGACAGCCCCTATGTTGCCCCATGGGCTTCCCTGGTAGCTCAGCTGGTGAAGAATCTACCTGCAATGCAGGAGACCCCAGTTCAATTCCTGGGTTGAGAAGAACCCCTGGAGAAGGGATAGGCTACACACTCCAGTACTCCTGGGCTTCCCTGTTGGCTCAGATGGTAAAGAATCCACCTACAATTCGGGAAACTTGAGTTTGATCCCTGGGTTGGGAAGATCCCCTGGAGGGGGGCATGGCAACCCACTCCAGTATTCTTGCCTGGAGACTCCCCATGGACAGAGAAGCCTGGTGGGCTATAGTCCATGGAGTTGCAAAGAGTTAGACATGACTGAGTGACTAAGCATAGCACAGCATTTTACCCCACATCCAAATTGTTCATAAATAATATTTTAAGGGAAGTTACTAGATATATTAAGGACAGGTAATCTTTTTCTCAAAATTAGCACTTTTTCACCTAAAAAGAATTTTTTTGTATTTTGTAGGATTTTGTAGAATTTTTGTTATAACAAAAATTTTGTTATATTTTGTAGACATCTTTAATGCACAGGAATGGGATACTCTAAGCAAAAAAGAAGCATGATAATTAAAATACAAAATTATTGATGATTCATCAATATGTGATTATTAGTTGATTATTCATCAAGTATTCCTGATTCTCCATCCAACCCTAAACCTTGGTGCTATCCTTAACAACTTGGGAGTGTTTAAAGGAAGCAGAATTTCCCTCAAATTTGCTTAGTCCTAAAAGTTATTCAGGGAAAACCTAGGGATGGATGTGGCCTTTAAGCAAAGCTCTAAAGTTTAAGTAAGGTTTAACTGACTTCATATTTGAGGGAAGAGACTTTCAGGCAAAAAGGAGGACTTTTATGAGGATCCAGAAGTGGGAAGAAGCCTGCAGTGATCAAATCTCATATGTCAACAGTGGGAAGAAGGCCCTGAGAGAATCAGGCAGGGCCTTGTGGGCTATTTAATGGTGCTAAGTTATTATTCTAAGTGCAGTAAAAAGGCAGGGGCAGGTTTTTAGCAGGAAAGTAACCTTAATACTCTTGCACTTAAAAAAAAAAAAACAACTAATTTTAAGTACTGAAAGTACAAAAGGGAGATAATAAATGCACAATAAATGGCAGCTTTTCCATGGCACTCAGGCCCTCTTTTCTCTCTGTGGTTATGGCTTATATGTTGCTTCAGTGACTCCAAGATCTCTCTCTCCAGCTCTGTTCTCTTTCTTCCAGTCCTATAACCTCAACTTCAGGAGGCCAACTTTGAACTCTGCCCCCTCTTCCCCTCTCAAGCACCAAGTTTAGTCTCAAAACACCTGGGGTCAAGACCAGGCCTGTCATTTGCTAGATGTATTTCCTAGAGAAATGGCATCTGATTTCTCTTAGTTTCCTCCCTGGTGCATGGGATGACCCTTTCCATGTACGATTGCTATGAGGCTTCCCCGGTGGCTCAGATGGTAAAGAATCCACCTGCAGTGCAGGAGACCCAGGTTCGATCTCTGGGTCGGGAAGATCTCCGAGGAAGAAATGGCTACTCACTCCAATATTCTTGCCTGGAGAATTCCATGGACAGAGGAGCCTGGCGGGCTACAGCCCATGGGGTCACAAAGAGTTGGACATAACTGAACAACTAACACACACACACACACACACACGATTGCTATGAATAGTCAGTGAAACAAAATGTAGGTCATGGTACTGACCATATAACAGGAACTAAGATATGGCAACACTAATCCCAATCATGCAGACTTTTATCTTTCTTTTCTTTTTCCTAAAAATGTTAGTTGCCTCCTGTTAGAATGAGTTCAGCCAGGAGTACTCCCAGGATTTGATGGAAGAAATCTTGGAATCTTCTTGAACATTTCCTCTCCTTTTTCTCCCATGACCAATCTGTGACTGAGAACTCACAATCTGTCCTTCCAAATGTCCTCAATTCATCCCTTCCCAAAACTAACAACTTGGTCCTCCTTAGCACATCTCACCTGAATTGTTGCAAGTATCATGAGTTAGTTTTCCTTTCTCCAGTTTCTTCTGTCCCCAGTCTATCCTCAGCATATTTTCAACATCTCATGATTCTGCTTTCAGCAAGTGCTGTGCTTAGTCACTCAGTTGTGTCCGACTTTGCAACCCCATGGACTGCAGCCCGCCAGACTCCTTGTCCATGGGGATTCGCCAGGCAAGAATACTGAAGTGGGTTGCCATGCCCTCCTCCAGGGGATCTTCTAATCCCGGGAATCAAACCCAGGTCTCCCACATTGCCGACAGATTCTTTACCATCTGAGCCGCCAGGGAAGCTTTCAGCATGTCCCACCCTAATTGAGAAGCTGCAGTAGCCATGTCAAGTCCAGACTTTTCCCCTAGAATGTTGCCTGCCCCCCACCCGTCTTCTTTTCCATGGTCTTCCTTTCCCATACAGCTTCCTCTCCAGTCCTGTCATCTTCATCTCCCTTTCCCTTTCACCATGAGAATCATACTGTCCAATCCTACCTTGGTGTCTTGGTACAATCTCTTCCCCACCACGGACTTGCCTCTCCTCTCCGTCTGACCCAAAAGGCACACAGAGACTCCCTAATTCTTCCAGATATCACAAGTTTCCTTTCCTTTCAGACTTCTATCAGTAATATTTTGTGTTTTGCCTTTTCTTTGAACTTTTGATTACCAGAATACAGACAAAAGATAATTTGCATGTTGTATCCCCACCATGTTGCTTAGCATAATCCTTGGCTTATAGGAAGTGCATGATACATTCTCTTTGAGCATTTTCTATCACTGACAATTGACTTCTAGTTTATTTTCCCAATAGGAAGACTCTCCAAATATCCTTGAGTAAATTTATAAACACATAGCATTCAAAACAAGAGGCACGTCTATATCCTTAACTAGATGATTCTTCAAGGAATGTGAGTAATTTCTTTACCATTGTCAGGACAATGATTGTTTAATGTGCACTTGTATTTTATAGAATTCCCCTGAGCTGGATGAAGAAGGCTACAGCATCAGACCTGAGGAACCCGGCTATATCCTTTCTTTATATTTTAATCTTAATTTCCATTTGCTTTCAGAAAGTAGGATGATAAATTTAGGATTTGCAGAAGTGCCAAAACTCCAGCTTCTCAAATCCTGTTGTCACTAGTATTAGAGATGAATAAACAGCATAGAGAACAGGCTGAACACTAACAAGCAGGCATTTTGCCTTAATCTATTCATAGAAGAGAGAGAGAGAGGAGAAAGAAAAATTGCGCTGAAAAACAATTGTGCAAATTGTGGGTGCTGGGTTGTCTTCTAAAATCTGATATGATAACACTACTTATGGTGGCTGGGAGATAGCTCTGACTTGTGCTTTCCCCACAAACCATCTCTGGTCAGAGCAGGTCACACTCTGAAGCACAAAATGTCATCACAAATCCTTCACAGAGTGGCCTTCCTGTCTCCTGTGGTAAGAGGAAATCCCCACGGGCCTGTAACTGTGAGTGCTGAGTGTGGCACACATAATGGGCTTTGGAACCATTTCTCCTGGAAATTTGTCCTCCTTAATCATGTTCCAAGGAAAGGTGGATAAATTCTGACTCTTTCCTGCTTTACACTTTGATTTTTGTTTTGCTTTGATTTTCTGCCACCCAAGTGTGCTTCTGCTGTGTCTTTGTGCAATCACTCTTGTCTTATACTCATCATTGCCTCTGAGTAGAAAAGACAGAGTTATGCATCTTTAACTGTGTTTTACCTACCAAAGGAAAGCACTTTTATTCTTCGAGTGAATCAGAAGAGGAAGAAGAATCACACAAGAAGTTTAATATCAAGATTAAGCCATTGCAAGCTAAAGACATTCTTAAGAATGCTGCAACTGTAGATGAACTGAAGGCATCAATAGGCAACATTGCACTTTCCCCATCACCGGTGGTGAGTAGCTTTTTATTTCAAGCTTTGGTGAGGTTGGATTGACCGCTGTGCTCTGCCCATACATGTCAAGTAAATCAGAAACTCTTTAAGCCAAAAGCTGCATATGGTCGTGATTTTATGAACTCTATAAACCTGAAACAGCTCATTCTAGCTATGGAAAATTATGCTTATTTTATATTGCAGTTTTCGTGCTTTTCAAAGTGGGATCACATTTGTTTTTGACATTTTCCTGCTAGTATTTTTCAAAGGAGGAAAAAATAACAAACATTATCCAGACTTACTTCTGAAACAATTAAAAAAATATGAAGTTTACATATTTACTAACAAAGATTTTTAAAAACACATTTTAATGTCTTATTTTATGATGCAACACATAAAAACTCATGGAAAGAAAATGAAGGAGATTGCTTTCTTTAGGGAAAAATCGTTTTCATTGCCAGTGCTTCAAAAAGAAATATTAATCTAATAAACCATAGTCTAAAAAGATATTAAAACTCACAAGCTTCATTATATTTTGTTATCAAATTGTCTCAAAGACTCTATTTAGACACCCCAAATACAGATATGCCTTATTTATATTAATCAAATTGGTATTTTCCTGCAATTTGTACTTCTTTTCCAATTCTCATCTACTAAATTTCTCTAGCTGCATTCTAAGTTCCAACATTTACAGTGTTTTCTCTATAGAGCTTGATCAATGCTGCAATTGTTTTCTAAAAATAGCTGTGAAGAGCAGATGAAGGCTCTTGTACTAGGAGCTAATATATTCTTAGCTTCTTGGCATCTTCTCTAGAGAGATGTGATCTCCCAGCAGCATTTTCCATGAATGAGGTAGTTAATAAATGCTGGGCCGTTTTTTCTATGCTTTTGGAATATACCAACTAACATTTCTATAGGAGTTGTAATCACCCATCCTTTGGGTTCCTGGCTGGGATGGATAAAATCTCTAACGATGCTTTCTTTAGTGCTCATAATGGCCTTTACCACTGCTGTTAGAGTCAACTAATATGACTGCTAATAGTATTCAACCACAGCAAATAATATCTCAGATAATTTTTAATCATATACTCACTTGCCATCTTAAGATGTCTTCTTGAAAAAGGAATCATGACATATACTAGTTTCCTTTCCCTTCTGTAATGGAAGGTACAAATTTTAAACTCACATATTGTTCTTTAATATAAGCAGTTTGTAGTAACAAGGCCATTTTAAATGTGCACACTTTCACTTTTCAGTTGACATCTTTCAAATCATTTTTTACTTACTAAAATATTTTTGTTAATTGTAAAATTTTATTTAAATGATTGAAAGCAATTTATATTTACTTCTATTTAGGGTGTAATAGACAGTGGGCATTGGGGAGCTACCTGGATAAGTATAAGAAGCCAAGTTCTTGGAATTCAGTGAACAAATTTACATGAAATAAAACTAATTAGAAAGATCCAGGCATGTGGTATTTATTTTCTGAAAGCTAGTTGAATCTAAGATCCTTTCCATCAAAAAGAATATCTCTTCATATATCTGATTCACTTTGTTGTACAGGAGAAGCTAATACAACACTGTAAAGCAACTCTACTCCAATTAAAAAAAGAAAGAACATGTCTACGCAAGTCATCTCGTAGCTATTCCTCCCACTGCATATGTTGCTAAGGGTAAACCAAGGAGAGTGGCTGTCACTCTGAGCTTTTCCCAACACCTGTTTTTTTTTTCCCCCATTTATTTTTATTAGTTCGAGGCTAATTACTTTACAATATTGTAGTGGTTTTTGTCATACATTGACATGAATCAGCCATGATTTACATGTATTCCCCATCCCGATCGCCCCTCCCACCTCCCTCTCCACCCGATTCCTCTGGGTCTACGAATGGATAAGGAAGCTGTGGTACATATACACCATGGAATATTACTCAGCCATTAAAAAGAATTCATTTGAATCAGTTCTAATGAGATGGATGAAACTGGAGCCCATCATACAGAGTGAAGTAACCCAGAAAGATAAAGACCAATACAGTATACTAACGCATATATATGGAATTTAGAAAGATGGTAACGATAACCCTATATGCAAAACAGAAAAAGAGACACAGATGTACCAACACCTGTTTTTAAAGTAAGACATTGACATGATGTGGTTAAGACCGCCAAAAATAGAGAAACGGTACAAAAACTAAATTGAGACACTCAGAGAAAGTAATCTCAGGGTTGGGCAGACCAGTAGCCCCACAGACCAAGAAAGCCTGGGACCCCCCCACCACTACTGCCCTGGCATTCCCAGCCAGCTCCCTCTAATGTGAGAACCTACCTCTGTCATTACTATGATTCCCAAATATCTGTGATTTTTGACAGTTAGTGTAAGAAAATAAGCTGCGATGGCTACTTTAGGGAAAGAGAGGCATGTTTATAGATAAACATAACTATAAAGGGAGATGAGAACTGAAAAGATATTCTTGCCTTTAGAATCCTTGTCCTCATCTAGATAACCCATAACCAGCTATAGGGATATTTCACAAAGGACATAAATAGAACCTTATCTCCAGAACTGGATGAATGGAAATAACCTTCTGAAATCCAGTTAGTGCCAGGATAAAAATGAGCTATGTTTTGTACGACTTTAGATGTTTCCAGCCACGCAATCAAATGTTCATACATCTACACTTAATTCAGGTACAAAAAGATAAATAGAACTTATACCAATTAATGATATATTAGAATATTTCTGTTAGGCATTGGTTCTAATGCCACAAAAGCATCAATTGCTACACTAATAGAGTTAAAGAAAATGGTAGGATTCACAACAGTGGCTGATATTTCTTTTGAAGAATTTTAAGACAAGGTTGTAATTCACTTCTTCTTTTCATCTACCTGTAAATATGTAGTAATGAATTGTAACCCATTTGATATCTCTTACCATGAATTTATTTTCACTTTATTTGGATAGGTTTACTATATATATTTCATTGTCAAATAACTTGAATAAAATGAATGAATGGATGTATGAATGAATCATATATATCTATTTGTGTATACAATATAAACAAACCTATATGAAAATTACTCCTCCCTAAAAAACAAAGCTTCAGCAACATAAAAAATTAAGGTTTTAGCTGCTAGCAAAAATCCTACTATATTGACAAATAAACATAGTTCCAGTCCAGATCTTACCTTGGCCCTTGATTTTTATATAGAAATCAATTTTTAATATGGACCAGGACAAGGCAAAGCACCAAAAAAAAAAAAAAGAGAGAGAGAGAGAGAGGAGGATGCAACTCACAATCAAAAGATGCTAATTTCTATTCTTCTCATGTTGTGATCTCCTAATAAGATATCATGAAAGCGTTAGTCAGTCGTGTCCAACTTGTTATGACCTCATGGACTGTAGCCCACCAGGCTCCTCTGTCCATGGAATTCTCCAGACTAAAATACTGGAGTAGGTTGCCATTCCCTTCTCGAGAGATCAAACCCAAATCTCCTGCCTTGCAGGCAGATTCTTTGCCATCTGAGTTACCAGGGAAGCCCTAAGATATTATACTAATAGGGTAAAGAAGGAAAATCACCTAGGTTTGAATTAGGGATTCAATTAGTTTTGAATTAATTGTTGAATTAGGTATATGTTTGAGTTAGAATATTGGTAGATCAATACTAATATTCTTCACCAGAAACCAAAATATTAATAGTCATGGCTTACACAGAATAGATGCTTTATTTCTATTCCACATTAAAGGCAAAGCAGGATGGACTGTAGCCCACCAGGCTCCTTTGACCATGGAATTCTCCAGGCAAGAATACTGGAGTGGGTTGCCATTTGCTCCTCCAGGGAGTCTTCCCAACCCAAGGATCGAATCCACATCTCTTGCCATCTCCTGCCCTGGCAGGTGGATTCTTTACCACTGAGCCACCTGAGAAGCCCAGATACACATATATCCAGCTAAAATCCAAGGCTCTGTTATTAAAAGACCAAAGAGTGAATGGATACTGGTAGACATGGACACAGTTTCTGTGTCACTATATTTTAAATAATCTCAGAGTAATGGAAAATGGGACTTTTCCATTTATCTTAAGTTATTCCCCAAACCTATTGAAATGAGGAAATTTCCTTTTAAAGATTTCTAATCACTGATTTCTAAATACCAGTGATGTTATGTTACATACTAGCCAGCAGCAGGGCTTAAAAATACCAATTTCAGTTAAATATCAATTTATGTGATTGATACAGATTCCTGCAACAGTAACAGTGCTCCCTCTATCTTATAGAGTTCACTGCTTTTTGAGAAATACTGCCTCATCATTGAGAGAAATGTGATAAACAAATTAAACCCAAATGCTGTCTCTGTGTAACTTAGGTTCATGTTATAGTTGTACTCTTTACTCTTTGGAGGACTGGACAGAGTTCAATCCAAAGGGACTGGACTGTCCAAAAGGATAGAGTCCCTCCTTTTCTCAACAGGTTTTCCATGAAGCATATTATCTCCAACTCCAAGTCTAGTGTGCAAGATACTGGGCTCAATACTGAGGGGTAGGGTGGGCAGAGGGTGGAGGTGAGCTGTTTTGCATGTCCAACAATAACCTCAGCTAATCATCTGGGGAACTCTTGAGCTAAAATGACCCTTCACATTTGTTCTGAGTTGGGCTGAGATGAATAACCGTTATACTGCTACATCAATCTGTGCTCCAATATGGGCTTGCTAAGAAGGGGTATGACCTTGGCCAAGGTGGCTCTCTCCAGCTGTGTCAGACCCTGAAGTGTTGACAGATGAAGGCTGTCTGCCAATGGCACTCCTAATGACTTTGTAAAACACCCTTCTGAAGACAAATCTACCCAGCACATTTTGGCACCTAGGGTTACCACCTTCTCTTCCAAGTGTTTTGTGGCCATTTGTTTAAATAATTTCTTATAGAATCTTAGGAGGTAGGCATATAATAATTGAAAAAGCAGATGTCCAGGCAGCAGGCCCAGCTCTGCCATGTTCTACCTGTGTAAACTTAGATGAGCCCCATAATTG